CAAAGTCAATACCTTTGCTGGGGATGCTCTGAACGTGACTGATGTATCTGGGACAGTGATCCTCGACTCTGGAAGGACGAGTACGACAATCATCAGTGCTGTCCTGTCTACTTATCCTGTTGCCATTTATGAAGTGGACAAAGTTCTCCGTCCGGTATCAATCTTTGGGACGAGTATGCCCCCCAGCGAGGCACCTGCGCCTTCTCCAGTTGCTGCTTCTCCTTCTTCAGTTCCTGGTGCTGCAGATGCTCCGGGTTCTGAGAAAGGTGACAGTAGTGACTCGACCTCGTCTCCAAACTCAACTCCTTCCTCTTCTCATAAGGTTACGATTAGCTTCGGCCCTCTCGGTCTGGGTGTCTTGGGAATGGCTGCTGCATCTGCATTTTTCTCCTAAACTTTTCTATACATATGTTGGTTCACTTGCACCCCATTATTATTCTTTCTGCCACATACAATGTTCTTCCCTGGTGTAGAATTTGTTTGTGCTATTAAGGTTTGTGTGAGAATGTATTTCTATGTGCTTTATTCCTATAAATCCGGCGGTATGTACCATTGGGCATTGTGGAAGGCTTAATCCCAAGTAATTACTCCTATATTTTCATAAATTGAAAATGTTTTTTTCTATAATTTGTCTAGTTCTATACATTAATAATCAGCAATTTTATGATGGGCTATTTTGTTAGATTTGTAATACGTTCTATGTTGTACTAGGCATTCAAAAATCAAAACTATCACGCCCTCTATCTTGTTGAACCTTGTTGAGAAACAAAGATTACAAGGTCTATGGGAGGGTGTGTGTAGGCAGACTTTGCCTTTATTTGAAAATAAAGAGATTGTTTCAAAGAAACTTATAATTTATATGGTCAAAACTTGTTTAGAAAAATGAGAAATAGAGATTAAGAAAATTTTAATTTATATGGTCAAAACTTGTTAAGAAGAATGAGAAACATGTGACTCACATTTTTTAAATGGAAAATAGAAAGGCAATTTGAGATTGCCAAAAAAATACTAAAGATGAAGAAACTCAACATGGTGGAGGTGTTGAAAAAAATGGGATAATGTAATTTTCCCACTAAAACAAAACAATATGGTGCAGTTACTAATTGATTAAACATAGTAATATGCAGTACTCTTTTTTTTTTTTGAATGGACAGTCATAGTAGTACTTGGTTGTAATCGAATTGAAAAAACTTTTTCTTCACGAGCAGTTTGTTCTGACCACTCTTTTTTAAAAACTTGCCATTCAATGCCTCCAACAATTTGTGCACAGAAGTCTCACTTTTTTAAACATACTTTTACTCTCTAAACACGGAAGAACATATAATTCTGCAAACTAACTAGTTTATGATACTTTTCTTCCAATGATTTTTGTTTTGCTAGTATTTTTGATTCCACCAATGATTGTGTCACGATATCACTCATAATTACAATTGCCTATGTTTGCCGATTTACGTATAACCAAAAATACTATTTGGGGTACTTTGTAATACTTACTTTATCTTATTTAGATTTACCTACCAATTTTTGGTTCTTTGTGCAAGGTAAATTACTTATCTTACCTGTCTAACCTTCAATTATTTACCTTACCGGCCCAATTCGCATATTTTTTTTATTTCTCTCTCCACCTAAAACCCATATTTGGGTCTTAATATGCAGTAATTGCATTCTTTTCACTTTCTTTTACACTTGTTTTATGTACCCCGATCCCCATCCAATCTTAAAATCTAGTCTCCATTATTATTTTGACTTTTGATTAGTTTATTTATTTGTGTATCTTTATTAGAGATTTAGTAAAATATTTTTGTCACATTTTGTTATATATTATGTGTATTTCATTTCAAAATATGTAATTTCTATTTTTTATTCCTATATCAGTTTCTAAACAAATAATTTTCAAATAGATAAGATTTTATATGTTATTCAAAATGAGACAATTTTTGGATGAGGTTGGTGTGTAATTACTCCGTATGTAATAAGCTTTTTATAGCTTAATGAATTTAATTTTAAATTAGAAACTATAAATAGTGAATAAATGAATATATTATTATTTGAGTTTGGGTTCAACATAGTAGGTTGGAGATGAGTTATTGCATTTTGGGTTTGTGTTGTATTTTAAGTTTGAGTTTGGTGTATGAGATTGGGAGTGGTCTAAGTAACTCTAGAGTCTATTTGGCTAGTAACTAAGTTCTAATGTTCGGCCAGACTATAATAATATACTTTCGTCTATAGTATTTTACTATTTTTGTCCAATATTGATTTTTACCATCAAAATTGATAAATTTTACTCCGTAATCATTAATTAAATAAAATTTATACTCCCTCCGTTCCTAAATATTTGTCACACTTATATTCCCAATGTAAAATATAAAGTTTTTTCAATTCATTTTATTTATATATTGGTATAGAAATAAAAAATACTACATCCGTCTCAGTGTATTTGTTCAGTTTGACTTTTTCGAGTCAAACTGGACAAACTTTGAATTCTAATTGCTCTCAATTTATATTGCATATTAGCATAATAAAATATAATTTTTGAACTTCTCAATACGATAAATCCTATAAAGTCATTTTTATTTTAAAATACATTATGATTTTTATTTAATTGAAGCTCAAAGTTTGTCCAGTTTGACCCAAAAAAGTCAAACTGGACAAATACGCTGGAACGGAGGGAGTAAAATTTACATATCAAAAAACTACATGAAACGTTCTTTGAAATAAGAGGTGCCAAGAATATTTTATTTTATCAAATAAATAATGAAAACGTAGAAATAAACAAAAATTCCCGCGACTGCTGAAAAAGCAAATGTTGTAAATATTTTGGGACGGGGGAGTACTAGATATTGGTACAAGAATAAGTTTATTAGATTTAGCTAGTAAAATATTTTTCAAAATGTTATTTTGGCCATGTTTGGTAAATGGCGGTTCACCTAGCATTTGACATCTTTGACCATAAACAGCGGATTGGACTAGTCAAACCGCCAAATTATTTGTTTGGATGATGGCTTTTGGAATTGGCATTTAGAACCGAACCGCCAAAAATTGAAATGCTAACCCTAGCAGCATTTCACTTAGCAGTTCACCCCCTTTTCCGTTTCTTACTCTTTTCTCGGCGTTGCGTCTCTCTGTGATCCTCACAGCACCGGAATTGGTGTAGAGTATTTTTATATATTTATGATATCATATTTAAAAAATTATAAAAAAAATATATCATGCGTGGTTGTTATTTGTAGAATGATAAATGAGAAAAATACAAAAAAAATCTACTTATAAAATATAAAAGTAGATTCTCATTTCTTAAATTAAAAAAAACGAAGTAGCCTTTTTTGTCCAACAACAGAAAATATGATATCATATTTAAAAAATTAAAATTGGTGTAGAGTACATTAAAAATATATGATATCATATTTAAAATTGGTGTAGAGTATTTTTATACATTTATGATATCATATTTAAAAAAATTATAAAATAAAATATATCATGCATGGTTGTTATTTGTAGAATGATAAATGAGAAAAATACAAAAAAATCTACTTATAAAATATAAATGTAAATTCTCATTTATTAAATTAAAAAAACGAAGTAGCCTTTTTTTGTCCAACAAAAAAAATGATTTCATATTTAAAAAATTAAAATTGGTGTAGAGTTTACTAAAAATATATGATATCATATTTAAAAAATTATAAAATAAAATATATCATGCATGGTTGTTATTTGTAGAATGATAAACGAGAAAAATACAAAAAATCTACTTATAAAATATAACTGTAAATTCTCATTTTTTAAATTAAAAAAACGAAGTAGCCTTTTTTGTCCAACAAAAAAATATATGTAAAGAATTTTCTTGTATAATGTGTGTATTTTATCAAATTAAAAAAATTTAAAATCATACACAAATTAACATAAATGGAGGGATGTCCTTATATGTAATTTTACTCACAAACAGCTAACTATAAAAAGCTAAAGTTGCCAAACATCTAATCTTAAATAGCTAACAGAAACAGCCGGTCAAAACAGCTAACTTAATTAGTCATCCAAACCAGCCAACATAAACAGCCAACAACCAACTGCCATGTTCCAAACAAGGCCTTTATCTCATTAATATATCATTTTTATTTAACTTTAAGTCAAATATTGGTCCTGATTGATTACAAAAAAACAAAACTGAAAAAATATTCAAGAATGAGGGTAATATTTTTCTTCTTAACAAGTGATAGAAAGAATTAAAATGAACTCTCTAAGAAGGGTTAATCATGCAAAATAACTTGACTATATGCTAGAGTCACCCAACGCATCATTTCAAGGGTCTTATCCCAACCTCGATTATATTCTCATAGACATAAATTGTGTTTGTGTAAACAAAAAATAAGATTCGACCAACAAAGGACAAAAAATAATTTGGAATCAATTTACTAAAATAAGATTTGAACATTCAGAATTCAAAGTATTCGTGTAGGGTTGCCAGGAGATTGATTTGGTCATGTTAGGGCAATTAATATGGTAACCACAGCCCAATTAGTAAATGGATGGGACAAATTGTCCGCGTTTAGGTCTCCAAACAAAACATATTTTCAACGTTGTCCACAAAGTTTGAATACTCGCCATATTTATAGGACAGTTTGTTTTAACTGCTCCTTCCTTATTGCTACCATTAGAATAGTAATTGTCACACAATTAAAACTCAATGTTTGAGTGTCTCTTCCAACAACTATTTTTAAAAGAAATGTATGAAATTCATCTCGAGCAAAAACATGGATAAGAAAATTGTCCGTGATTGAGTTCGAAAACTGCTTTTGAACTTGTAAATTTTTTTAAAACACAATTTAACGTGGTTTGACAATCTGTTTCTCGAGGAGAGACAACAAAGTACAAATGAATCTAGTGGGAGGACGTTATTTGGCACATTGTTCTTCTGAACCAAGTTCCCACAGCAAGTACACAAATCACTTGTTTGCAGAAATCCAAGTAATAACAATGGCAAAAGTAACAATAAATTAGTACTAACCAAAAACACAAACAATGTCGATCTGAACAATGTAATACAACTCGAATGTAATCTTACATAAATTCAATGGGGAAAAAAAATTGATTCTAAGATCCAACTAAGCATATCTAATCTGATCTCTCATATAATAATAAAAAAAATGGAACATACATATAATATATCTATGGCCACTAAGAAACATCAGCGTGTATATGTATAAATATGGCACAGGAAGGAAGGAGCCGAATCTAGGCGGCGTAGGGTCCTCCGTTGGCGGCGGCGCCGGTTTCTTGCTCGGCCTTGTTCTTCTTCTTCTCCCTGTGGTCCCCGATCTGTTTAATGATTTCCAAGAGAACGGCGAGGGCGGCGAGGGCGATGATCACCACCGTGTAAGCCCGCTTCCAGTTCCTCTGCCCGCCGAGCGCGTCAAACCCCTTGTACACATTGGCGACGCCGAGCGCGATCACGGCGTACCCCACCCCGCGGTGGTACAAGCTCCAATAAATCCTGTATTTGTGCTTCGGGTTGGGCCTTATCAGCAAGGCCAGAACCTGGAGAGTGCCCAGCGTGAACAGGGTGATCCCGATGTTCCGGTGGGTCGTGTGGGTTATCCCCTTGGAGTCCGATCCCAGCTTCATTCCGGTGCCCCATCCGGCCACCCCCACGCCGTAGCCGGCGAGCTGGCAGGCCACGTGGAGGTAGAACCACGCCGGATCGAAGGATTTCATGTGCCGGGCGATCACAGCCCCCATCGGCATCAGTACCCCCCAGCTCACCGCGTTCAACACGCCGTGGACCTGAAGAAAAGAAAGAAATCATCGAATTCGGTTATTATANCGCATAACAGAGGTGGTGCCGCCGCCATCTCCGCCGGCGCTCTGTCCGGTGGCGAAGTCCACGCTTCCGGTAGATTTGACGTTGTCTCCGGTGGTGCGGTGAATGGAAGGGATGCCGCCGGAGATGGGGCCGTCTTGCCAGACGGTGTTGAACCGGGTCCGGTTCGCGGGGAGGAAGAGGGTGGCGAAGATTGTGGTCTCCCCCTTGGCGAACACGGCGGAGAGATTGCGGACGCGGAAGCTGAGATTCCCCTGCCGAAGCTGCGTGCCGTAGCCGCTGATTGCGGTGGTGTAGGCGCGGACGCTGCCGTTGGAACTGGGAACGGCCACCAGGCACTGGGCCCCCGCCATCCCGGATCCGCCGAGGTTGAGCGCCCAGGCCACCCAGGTGGAGGCGGTGACGCTTCCGTGGCGGTACGCGATGTCGGCGGTGTGGTTGCTCCGGTGGTAGGTCCAGTGGAGGAAGGAGTCGAGCACCGGGAGGCGGATACAGCCGGCGAATCTGGCGCCGTTGGAGAAAACGTGACCGGAGCAGTTCTGGGCGTACGAGGAAGAAGCCCCCGACAGGGCCAGAGCAATCAAGAACAGAACGATCATCCCACAACGCTTACCCATCCTCGCAGGTTGCCGGGAGCACGCCGGAAAGACGCCGGAAGGAAATTGAAATTGATTGAAGTTCAAGTCAAGAATAGAATTGGTTGGGTGATGGGTAGGACTGAGTAATGAATTTGGGGGAAGCTGCCTTTTATAGACTTTTTTTCTAATATTTAGATTTTCTAATAGGATTAGGAGAAGAAATATTGAGTAAATGAGTTTTAGGGGAGATTAATAATAATTAATTCGATATTTACACTCCCAAAAAAGAAAAAAGATATTTCCACAGTACAGTTGAATTTCGATTCCTTCCTCTGCTTAGACTCGAAGTGGGAGACCGTCATTTACCCCACACACACACACAATTACTCTACATTTTGCACAAAAATGTGCAAATATATATATTGGATACTAATTTAAGGGAAAAGTATTTTTATTTTGTACAAAAATACTTATATTATTTAATTAATATTATTTTTACTTTTTCATGACCATGCATTCAAAGTTTCACCATTAGTATTAATGTTTATACATTGAAAATTGTAAAGATATCAAACAGCTAAAATGATGAATGTACGAAAAATTTTGGGCCTTACAAAAATCACTTAAGGTCAAGTGACAATGGACTTCAGTATTATATGATGGCCCAGAACACCGTATTGAAAAATTACCGTATTGAAAAATTGATGGTTCCTACTTCTTCTAACCCTTCTGATAAACCTCCTACTTCGGCTAGACCCAAACTTACCCCTCACTCCCTTCAATTCATCATTTAGTTGACTGTGCAGTCAAAACTTGACTTCAAAATCAACTAAATTTTGTGGATGGCAATTTGAGAGAGTGGAAAAGTCAATTCAGGTCGGGCTCGAGCGGGGTTAAACATTATGAGATATGAACCATCAATAAACATTTTCCTTTTTTTTTGGTCTTTTTGAAGTATATCTTCTTCTCATTTGATTACAATGGATTTGAATGTCTTTAAACAGAAATTGGACTTGGGAAAAGTTGGTCCACGTTGACGCGTAAAAGGAAGCGGCCCAGCCCATGAAAAATGAAGCTGGGGAGAAAGGGCAACGTTTCTCTATTTAAATTCAACGCGCTCACACTGCGCGGATTTCCAATATTTATTTGACTCAAATGCCCAAATAAAATGGTTTACTTTTTCTCGAGTAAACCGTAGATACTCCTTTTCAAATTAAGGTTGATTGTGTCACACTACTCTCACCAATGACATTATTCAAGACAAATTACGGAGTATTAATTTAAAAAAAATCATTTAATTTATTTTAAACAAAGAGTAGAATAAAAGGTTTATTAAATAAGAAATGACACAATTATATCAAAAGAATATTTTAATACGTTTACCTTTATAAATACGGATAGGTTCTAGTGACACCGGAGTACGATAACACTCCGGTGCCACTGTCATTTTGGAGCACTCCTGGTACTCCATTTGCAAAATTAATGGTTCTTACTCTCATAATCACCCCTAAACCCCCTACCCCAGCCCCACTCCTGTCGCCCCGAACCTGCATTGCATAATAGTCACACATTTGGATGAGAGCTTGGGGTGGGGTAGGGAGTTTGGGAAGTGGTTAGAAATGATAGGAATCATCAATTTTGTAAACGGAACACCAGAAATTCTCTAAAATGGACAAATGTCATCCGTTGACACTGGAATTCAGTGTCAACGGAACCCTACCATGATAATTATACATGATAATACTCCCTCTGTTCCTTTTTCCTTTCCTTGTTTTGACTTTCAACCGAATTAAGGAGCCAATTGTTTTGCATTGACTTGACAATTTTACCCTCAACTCTACCCTCATATTACCCTCAAATTTTTTGCCTTGACTTGACAAGTTAATAAGAGGTCAAGCAGTCACTCAAGCTCCAATTTCTTCAACTCTACCTAGCTATTTGTTCAATCTCTTCTCTAGTTCTATGTAATAGTTTGCATTTTGAATTCAATTTTAATTGTTTTTGCTTGTTTTAATTAACTCGAAGAATAAAAAAATGGTTGGTGTTTTTTTTGAGTGTATGTTCTTTAAATATTTATATTAAATCCTTTATAAATGAAAATTAATTTATACTCCGTACTAGTTTACTTCAATTATTGTACAAGCTAAGTTGTGGTTGAATTGCATACTTTGATTTCACAAGTAAGTTGGTACGTTGCTAAACCTATTTTAGTTTCATATTATAGTTAAATGAATTCTGAATTCATAAGTTCTTCTTTTTGGTGATTTGTGTTTGTTAATTTTAGGATTTATGAATTTCTTAGCACAATAAGTTGATCCATTTCCTTCTTTGCAGTGCAAAATTTCATGGATGAATGGGTGGATTGGTAGTCTATGTCCGCTAAGGACCGAGTTAGTAGTGGACCACCAAATAGCAACCCGGCTCTGGATTGTTGGCGAGGGTCATACCCCCCACGTCCTTGAGATGGTGGATTTTGATAGAATCTAATTAGTGCTAGTTCTGGATCCTTGATTTAATTGGGTAGGATTCGGTTGCCACTGCTCAGGGTTGATTATCTTGGAGGCCATTTCGAACGAATCGATGAAAAGATTGAAGATGGGAATCACAGGAGAAAAGAACTCGGGGTTTGAATGACGATGAAAGAAGTAGAAGGGGAAGAAGAGTCCCTGATTGGCATTTATAGACGTTACAGTACAAAAATCAAGATAGTGTGTGAGCGACGATGTGTCGTTTCTGATTCGACACGAAAGTAGAGGAATTCTCATCACATTTTCTGAGAATTTATTATCATTCTTATTTATGTTCATCCAACTTTCATAGTTGGTGGACTCAATTCCATCAGCACTGTATGAATAATAGCTATTAGCTCTTGGCTATTTGTATTGACTAATTGAGTTCGCTAATTTGATCGATGATTGTGTTAATTGTTAAAAAACATTATTTGACAAAGTTAGGTATTTATAAATAAAATTACATTTATAGACATGTCTCACTTATTTGTATATTGCTCCGTATTCACTTGTTTAGACTTTAGAGTGCTCCGTGGTACTAACAAAACTGAGAGTACTCTGTATTTGAAATATAATGCTTTATTCAATGCTATAGATGAACAGTGACTGCATAGATTTCAAAAAAATGCATAGATTAACATTATGCTTGATTTAAGGAATTTTAGACAGAAAAGAAAAAAAATGAGAAGAAAAACATTTTTTTGTTTGGTTAGAGAGGAAAAAAAGTAAAAAAAAAAAAGGAAGATGCGAAAGCAAAATGTACTAAGAAGGAAAATTGTTGGCGACAGAAGAAGGAAGTCATATCGAAGAAGGAAACTGAATCCCTTTGGGATTCGATTTAGTATCTTTCCTAGTTTATTTATTTCTCTTTTTAGTAGAAATAGAAATATGGTAGGAATAAAAGTTTACTTATATGCTTTACTCTCTTCCTATATAAAGAGGGTTATACCTTTGTATTCACAAGCCAATTCAATATACAAACTATTTACTCTCATATTAATTTCTACATGGTATCAGAGCTATCGTTCTTGGTGACCTAAAAAAAAAAGATCTTTGCTCCCACCGCCGCCGCCGGTATTTCCGGCGACGGCGGCTCCACCTTATTCACATCTATTTTTTTCCCTTCTTTTATTCTCAAATTAACTTCTCCATTCAAAAAAAAAAGAAAAAATTCCCGTGTTGAAATCACAAAAAAAACCATCAAAGGATGAACTTTTCTCTTTTCATCTCCATGGTCCTTCAAAAAAAAAATCGACTCCTCACAAACTCTCTCAAATCATCATATCTTCTCAAAAAAAAGAAAAAAAAATGATTGTTGTTTCTCTCTAATTCACCATATCAAATTCACAGACCCAAATCTTTTTCACATCACCAATTCTTAACCCACTTTTTCTCTCTCTCAAATCACTCATTCTAATCATCAACCTTCCTTCTCTTTCTCTTCTATTGAACCAATACAAATACAAATTCAAAGAGCAATATTATTATTCCCATATTTCAACATGGTATCAGAGCAAGTTCTGAATTCTTGAAACCTCAAACACGCTTATTCCCCTGCCGGTGGGCATACACAATTCAAAATTCTGATCGAAAAAAAAAGGGGGAGAAGTTGGAGGTACTGTGTAGCCATCACATCTGTTTGGGCTTGAAATATTTTGGGCCGTGGTATATTTTTTGGTGGGTGGATCTTCTGGGCTGATTTGTTTCCAATTGAGTTGCCATTTGGACTTTGACTTGGACTTTCCTGTGATTTGACCGAAATTACTCTATTTTTGGGAGATGTTCTGCACCTTGAATGATGTTAGGCATGTTCTACTTTTGACAAAGAATCTGATATCCTTGCCTCGTCTCGACAGTAAGGGTTTCAGTTTCGAAGGTAAAGGTGGAGTTATGAGTGTCTACAAGGATTCGAAGGTGGTTCTGAAAGGTATTAAGCATGGTACCTTATATCTTCTACAAGGATCTGTCAGTGTTGCATCTGAGATTCATAGAGGTGATGAAAGTCTTAATGTTGAGGTGGAGGTTCCATCTGCACGGATTGAGACTGTTGATCACCTAGAAGAATCATCTGTTTCTACGCCTCAATGAGGCGATATGCGCCCCGCGATGGGGCGATCTGGGCTCGTATGGGGCAATCTGGGCCCCATAAAGGGCAATTTGGGCTTCAGGAGGAGCCATCTGGACACTAGGTTAGTGTCATCTGTTTTTGTTCAGGTTCCATGAAGAGTCATCTGGACTCAAAGTGGAGTTTGCATCTGTTGGTGTTTTAGCTTGAGTTATCTGTTCCCATGAGTGAGGGAAATCTGTTTTGGTGTGTCACTACACTTCTGAACTCAAGTGAAACAATCTGTTCTTGTCTTTTAGTGACATTTGCGTCCTTGGTTGGACTTCAGGTACCTATGGTACATCTGGTCACTTCTGGAATGGAATATGATACATCTGCTATCTTTTGAGGAGATTCAAGTCAAGGTGGAGATTTGTTAGAAAATGCCTTGAATATCTTTCCTAATCTCATCTTTAGATATATAGTAGGATTAGGATTACCCATATCCCCTTCCCTATATATATGGCTTGTATTTGTACTCCTCAATACATGGTAGAGAAAATCTGTAATCTGGTGAGAAAATCTGATCAATAAATCTGTTTCTCTTCTGTCCGTGGAGGTTACTAACAAATTGTTAGTAAACCACGTTAAATCTCTATTGTTTTTCATGATTGTCAATTGTTCGTATTCATACTTTCTCGCGTCTGTCGTAGCAGAACTACAAACTGGTATCAGAGCAAGTTCTGAATTCTTGAAACCTCAAACACGCTTATTCCCCTGCCGGTGGGCATACACAATTCAATGCCTACCGGTGGGATGTTGTAAGTTTTGATTTTCTTTGACTGTTCTCCCTCACTAAAGAATATCATGAATTCCTTCAACGAAGAACATTGCTGTCGAGGAATCCCGCCCAACCATCAATCTTGAAGAAGTTGTCCGACAAGGGTTGTTCTACAGAGACAGACAACTCTTTCCTTAGCAGGGAAAAAAAAAGTCAGCGTTCAGGGTGTTCGAAAAGAATGGCGTTCCCCCTATTTGTTCGAATACGGTGAAGGTTAAAAAAGAATGGTGTTCCTTTACTCGACGGATTATTCGGCGGATTCGAAAAGCTTGGCGTCTCCGTTGAAGAAAAAAACTGAAGTGTCTAGATGACACTCGGACAACGATGGCAGCGGCTTCCTCAAGCTTTGTTGCTTTGTTCAATATTTTGATGTCCAAGCTGGGCATGTTGAACTTCCATGCTCCAGCTTGAGGGGGGGTGTTGGCGACAGAAGAAGGAAGTCATATCGAAGAAGGAAACTGAATCCCTTTGGGATTCGATTTAGTATCTTTCCTAGTTTATTTATTTCTCTTTTTAGTAGAAATAGAAATATGGTAGGAATAAAAGTTTACTTATATGCTTTACTCTCTTCCTATATAAAGAGGGTTATACCTTTGTATTCACAAGCCAATTCAATATACAAACTATTTACTCTCATATTAATTTCTACAAAAATCAAATTCCTCATATTTTGGTAAATAAATAGAAGGAAAATTATTATTTTGTTTCTTTTCTTTCTAAATTCTTTGAACCAAACATAGTGTATATGATCTCAACAAAGAAAGATATGATGGGTAAAGCTCATAGATCTAAAATGGACTCATGAAGAAAAAAGAAAAAAAAACAAGTTAGAGAGTTAGTTAAAGGGTAATGGCAAAACAAAAATACTCCTAAAGGCCAAGATGAAATGGTGTTTAGAGTGGGCTTTCAAATGTTGGCTAGCTTTTTGTTCCAAACATTCAATTTGTTTAATTGACTATTCAAATCAAGCATATAAAGTTAAAATAGTCAAAAATTAATCGAGAAATCATTTACCAAACAAAGCGTAATTGTACTGGGACCGGTACATATATACCCACCAAGAAAAGTATCATCTTTAATTTTAATAATAGAGATCAAGTAGTCCATACTTTTCTTATTGTAATGTTCTGAAAAAATCACAATATGATTTTTTTGTTCCAAAATGGACTCATGAATAAAAAAGAAAAAAAGAAGAAGTTAGAGAGCTAAAGGGAAATGGCAAAACAAAAATACTCCCAAAGGCCGAGATGAAATGTTGTCTAGAGTGGCCTTTCAAATGTTGGCTAGCTCTTTGTTCCAAACATGTAATTTGGTTAATTGACTATTCAAATCACTATATAAAGCTTAAATGGTAAAAAAATAGTCGAAAAGTCATTTACCAAACAAAGCATAAATAGATTGGAGTCCGTCCATATATACCCATCAAGAAAAATATTATCTTTTAGTACTAGAGCTTAATAAGTAGTTCATACTTTTTTTATTATAATGTTCTAAAAATCACACTCTGATTTTTTTGATCTTTTAATGAACGAATAAATTGTTTACTACATTTCTCTATTGGATTAAACTCCAATTGAAATCAATTGAGATTCCATCAGATTAAATTATATCCAATCAGGTCCGATCAAATAAGACCTGATCTGAATTTCAAAAAATCAGATTAGATCAGATGTGCACGGAACGTTCTGAATACCAAAGGCGTGTCATTTTTAACAATTTATGGTAGAAGAGGAGAGTAATTTGACTAAAAAATTAAAATTGAAGTGAGACGGTAATTGTAAAATGTAACGAGTAACTATTTTTCAACACAATTGTAGTACACGATGGAGTATTTTTTGGTGCAACTTTAATTATTGATTAATGCCACGCTTCAAAGCTAAGCTTATTAAAATGGACATAATTGGATGGACACTCCCATGCATAAAAACACAAATCCCTCTCTTACACATACCCACCACCGGACCCCATCATCATGCTTCCTTTCATTGTCACCGTCTTTCTCCTTTTCCTCTCTTCTCCGCCGCCCGTCACGGCGGTTTCTTCCCACTGCGCCGCCGCCGCCAAGACTTTCAAGAAATGCGCCTCGCTTGCCACTCAAGACGCTTCCATTGCGTGGACCTTCCACCGCCACAACGCTACCCTTGACATAGCCTTCTTCGGCTCCTTCATTTCTCCCTCCGGTTGGGTCGGCTGGGGAATCAACCCGGCCGCCGCCGAGATGGCCGGAACCCGCGCCCTCATTGCCTTCCCGGACCCCAACTCCGGCCGGCTCTTGCTCCTCCCCTACGTCCTCGACTCTGCCGTCAAGCTACAAAAGACTCCCCTCCTTTCCCGCCCACTCGACATCCACCTCCTTTCTTCTTCCGCCACCGTGCACGGCGGACGCAGGGCCACCGTACACGACGGCGCCGCCATCGAAATCCGCGCTTCCGTCAAGCTCTCCCACAACAAGACAAAGCTTATGAACTTCGTGTGGAACCGGGGGCTCTACGTACAGGGCCACTCTCCGACCATCCACCCCACCGGCGCCAGCGACCTCTCCTCCGCCGTCACCGTCGACGTGCTCTCCGGCAATGCCCCAAGAGTTCACAACCGCCGCGATTTCTCGACGCTGAAAACCGCCCACGGCTTCGTTAACGCCGTCTCGTGGGGAATCTTACTGCCGGTCGGGTCAGTCACGGCTCGCTATGCAAGACACATACGATCTCTGGGCCCCACTTGGTTCTACGTCCATGCAGGTACCGGTTTCCACTTTTATTTCCTTGAAAAAAATAAAGTACTGTAAAAACTAATAACTGTATTTGCTTGAGAGCAATTGTCTTTGTTACATGCCATGTTTGAAATATGGTTTTGAATTTACGTCATTGTTTTGAATAATATTGAGTACTACGCATTAATTTTATTTTTTATGAATTTATTGTTTTGAATTTATTTTTTTCTCTTTCTCTAGAACATTTCCATTTTCTAGTAAAAAATCATTTTATCCCTATTTTTTTACCATACCCCATACCTATCACATCATACTTTTTGCTAATAATCTGCTCATCACATTTTAATTTAACTCATCACATCAAGAACAAAATTGGAAAGTCGGCCACAAATTACACTCCTTATTTTGGCCTAAAGTCAAAATAAGAATGATTTTTTAAAAAGGCGGGGTGGAGTATTAAAAAATGATATTTCAAAATCATGTTTCTAAATGAATATATATTGATATTAAATTTATATCAAAATTCACCGTATTTTTTCATGATTTATTGTCAAAATGTAAAAAAGTTGACCACAAAAGTCAAAATAGGAAAAAAAAGGAGACTGATAAAGACCCGCCTGTTTGGCATCAACGTTAGAGATTAGCGTTAGCATTTTGAAAAGGTTATCTGACGGCATTTTTTAGCATCAGCATTTTCAGAATTTAACTACACCATTAAAATTTTATCTAAAACGCTACCGGTAGCCGAAAATGTTGTGCCAAAGCGTTCTTATTGTTGAATTCCTCTATATCTATTCTATCAATGCATGCCGCATGCAGGCATACAACTATCGGGCATTGCACTGGGGAGCATCGGGTTCGGGATCGGGTTAAGGCTCGGGGAGCTATCCCCGGCGGGGCGAGCACCGGGGATGCATCTGAAGCTTGGCATCGCCGTGTTCACCTTGGGGATACTGCAAACAACGGCAGTGTTTTTCAGGCCGGAGAGGACGAACAGGTTCAGAAAGTATTGGAAGTCGTACCACCACTTTGTAGGGTACGCATGCACAGTGTTAGGGGTGGTGAACGTCCTACAAGGGTTCGACCTCATCGGAGAAGAAGGGCAGCCGCCGCCGTCGTCCTATTATGGCCTCCTCGTTTATTGCCTCTGCTTGTCCACGTTGGGCGGTGTTTGTGTGGCGCTTGAGGTCAACTCTTGGGTTGTTTTTTGGCGGAGTGCCAAGGAAGATAAGCTGAGCAGCACATCTAGTAGCTAAATAGCTAGCCATGCATTGATACGGAGTAAACCTTTTTCACAATATATTTTGGTACTATTTGACATTATATGTCCTATTTTGATACTCCATCCGTCCCGAAAAACATGGGACTTTTGATTTTGAAGAAGGATTTAAGAGGAGTGTATTTTGGTATTAAATTTCCAAAAATGTCCTTTGATGTGATGGATAAAAATATGATTTGAGGGATAGATTAATAGTAAAAAGGTATGATGTGATAGGTAGGGTATGAAAAAATAAGGAGTAAAAGTGACTTTTTAATAGAAATGAAAAGTGTTTTTTGGGATGGATGAAAAAAGAAATGAGAAAAGTTTTCAGGGCGGAGGGTGTATAAAGCTATTGAAAGACCTATTTTGGCACAATGGCACATGATGTGAGATATTTCTTTCTCTTTTTTTTTTCTTATTTTTATATACTACATTCAGTACTCATTTAGTAAAATATTTTTCTAAAAAATGAGATTTTTTTAAAAAATAATGAACAACTAAATTCAGACCAAAATAGTACTCTCTCCCTCGTTTAAAGCATTTCAACTTTTACTTTTTAGCCGTCACATAACATGTATCAATTTTGTCTAAATGGACACAATTGTCTTTACTTTTCTTACATCTAATCGAACTTACTTCAACTATCTTCTATGTTCAACCCATTTTGATCACATTTTCCGAGCCCAACTTATTTCAATTGTTGTCCTTTTGCTTTGATCAAACTTCTGTCTTCTCCGATCCTTCCAAAAGTCAAAACCAGAAAACACAATTACCCTTATTTTTCTTAAATCTAATCAAACATATCTCAATTACCTTCTATGTTCTACCCATTTTGACATTTTCCGAGCCCAATTTGTGTCAATTGTCTTCTTTTTGCTTTGATCAAACTTCTGTATCTTCCTCTCCCAAAATTCAAAATTGAAAATATTTTCCAGGATGGAGGAAGTATACATTTAGCCTTTATTTGAGATGAGTTTTAACCTTTTGAAAACGGTATCTAATAGTAAATCTTTAGGAGAATTTTAAATTAATTCATCATCATAAACAAATTACTCTGAATGTGTCCCTTGGAAATTGGCTCTTTACACACCTTTTGAATAAGGAAGGTGTAATTTTGGTTGACTTTCCAATTTTGCCATTTTGACTTTCCAATTTTTCCAATTGGCTCTTTACCTCCATTCCTTTAAACCCTTCCCATTTTGACTTTGGGCCAAAATAAGGAAGGTGTAATTTTGGTTGACTTTCCAATTTTGCCCCTGATTTGATGAGTAAAAGTAAGATATGATAGTTTGGTTATTAGTAAAAAGGTATGATATGATAGGTAGAGTATGAAAAAGTAAGGGTAAAAGTGGTTTTTTAATAAAAAGTGGAAGTGTTTTAGAGAATTAGAAAAAAACAAAAGAGAAAGCGTTTTATAGAACTGAGGAAGTATATCATTTTAATAGAATTATTAGTATTTTAAAAAAATTAATTCTATCAAGTATCAACATGCGTATATTTCATTTCTTGAATTTAATAATGAAAAGAATAAAGAAAAATTCGGTACTAATTCAATTTAATAAACAATCGGAGGGGGAGAAGAAGAAAAAGCGATTGTCAAGAATGGGATTCGAACCCATGCCCTTTCGGACCAGTACCTGAAACTGGCGCCTTAGACCAACTCGGCCATCTTGACTTGTTGTCTCGTGGTCCTTTTTTTCTGATAAGTCCTTTGACAAACAGTTAGTAATGAAAAGAGTTAAAACCATCATGATAGTTTTTGGCATTATTTTTGACATAATTGGTATTATATTATTTACAAATAAAAATATAAAAAGTCATATTTTTTATATTAAATATATTTTAATTTTATTTAAAAAATTTTCCATATATAAATAACATATTTTTGTCCTCTACATAATACTACATTCACAATAAAGAAGTCATTACTAAATATCTAAAACCATTAATATTAATGGGGAGTGTAAAGGTTTTTAAAAGAGGTAAAGGCTTAAGGCAGGGAAACCCCATATTCCCTCTTTTATTTGTACTAGTGATGAAATATCTCACTAGAGTACTGACCCAGTTTGCAACAGAACTTAAACTTAGCTACCACCCTATGTGGAAAAAACTTATGCTTATTAATACATGCTTTGTTGATGGTCCAATAGTTATATGTAGAGTTGGTGAATGTTCAATGCACAACCATGCTTCACGTGGATCTTGGTCTATGGAGTAATTCAAAATTGAGTTGAAATAGAAAAAGTGACCATTTAGGAGGTTTCCCATAAGGGAGAGTTAGAAATAGAATATGCCTGACCCACGAGCTTAAAGAGGATTTCATCAAGGTATTTGATTGAGTTTGCATGTATTTCAGCTTCGAGTGTTGTTTGAATATTGGTCATCGATCATTTCGTTATTTGTCACATTAGTTGGCAATAATTAAAAGGTTTAAACCAGCGAGTCATACAAAAGAAATGATATTTGCGAACGATAGGAGTTTTCTTGTGAAGAAAGAAGTGAAATATATATTTAGTAGAAGTAGGTCATATCAAGGAGGTTCTATATCTTAATGGTTGGGTAACAATATGTTTGCACAAAAGAAAAAAAATAGTAGACACATTGAGGATGCGTGTTGACTCACAAATCTCAATAAGACATGTCCCTTGGACTCTTATGTAGTATTGCTTAGTCGAGACTAAATTGTAGATAAGATATTCGAGTGTATGGATGCCTCCAAAAGATACCACAAAATAGTAATGTGTCAAGGTGATGAGAGAGGGTGTCTTTTACTTTGGATGAGACGACATATTGTTATAGGGTTACGTCTTTTGAATTGAGATAACAAAAGACAATTATATAATGACATACAAGCAAATAGTTGTAAGCTATGGTATATGTAATGATGTCTACTTTCTTTCCTTAGTCCAGTAAAAAGTTTTCTTGTTTAACTTTGATGCATTTTAAGAAAACGTGTGGGAAGTATGAAAATAAGATTCAATTATCTTTTTTATATGGAGAAGATGAAATAATCATGAAACTTTAAGGGGAACATAAACATTATAAGCATGTTTGGGAATAGCGTTAGAGATTAACGTTAGCGTTTTGAAAAGGCTATCTACGACTAGCGTTTAGCGTTAGCGTTTTCAAGTAATCTACACCGTTCAAATTTTATCCAAAACGCTATCTCTAACGATATTCCCAAACAGACCATATGTTTGGTTCGTGAATTTAGAGGAAAAGAAAAAAGGTGGGGTTCCCATGACATTGGAATCCAATGTCATGGGATGACCTGGGGGCGCTCCGGTGCCCCGTTCGTAAAATTGACGGTTCCTACCCCCCTAACCCCCCGGTAATCTCCCCTACACTGCCCCAACCCGAACACACCCCTACCCCCGTCAATTGCACTCCACAAGTTGATTTTGACTCGAAAGTCAAAATCAAATTGTGGGGTGCAATTGACGGGGGTAGGGGGGTGTGTTCGGGTTGGGACAGGGTGGGGGGTTAGGGGGTAGGAACCGTCAATTTTACGAACGAGGCACCGGAGCGCCCCCAGGTCATCGCCGGCAATGTCATGGAAGCTTGGTGAAAGAAAAAAATATTTCTACTTCTTTTCTTTACCAAAATGGAAGAAATATTATTTTCTTTCTTTTTAATTCATTTTTCCCCTATTCTTTTTCCATCTATTCTTTTTTCACATCTAACCAAACCTTTTTTTCACATCTAACCAAACAAGAATTTTTTTTCTTTTTCTTTTTTTGTTTCCTTAACAAATTTTTGGAATCAAAGGGAACAAAATTTGGATGGTGTACCATCTCTTGGTAATTTGGTATACATCTATCTGTGGTGATTCAGCAAAGACAACAATAATGGGAATAATGCAGTGTCGATAAGGAGAAGAGAAAGACTTCCTCTTCCCCCTTTCTTTCAAAATCATTTGACTGGTTGTTGAAACCCTAAATTTCACACGGTGATAACTTCCTTCTGCTAACCAAACATTTCGGATTTTGCATATTTCATGTTTGTAAATTTCTACTCTTTTTTTGACATTTTCAATTTTTTTCTTATTTCTTCTGTGGATGTTCGATGGTAATTGAATTTCCAGGGATGAGCAGAGAGACGCCGCCCGAGCCGCTGGATTTCTTCATCTGGACTGTTGAGGTAATAATTCGCTCATTCTTTAGGTGGTCCTTCCTGTAGATCTTGTTTTCCGCCGATTTTGAATTCTCCGTTGATCTGATTACTGGCAGTTCTTCAATTATTTTGGAGGCTCTGACTCCCTGAGTATATGGAATCTATTGCTCTAGGTTATTGAGCACATGTCCTAAAGCTCCTTGGGCATAACACTTTAGAAGTGTACTATCGATTTATTCGATGTGCATATTTGGTAATTGTGTTTCGTACTTAAGCTGATTATAGTGGCAATAGATGAACGATGTACTTTCTGCAACTTTCTCAAAGAGTCTAAGAGTATGCTAAGAATGAGATTATGCATTGTAGAGCACTTTTTGGCGTATTTAAGCATCATAATCGGTGAGTAAGTAGTAACATGGAGTTATTAACAATTGTTCACTGTTTGTACACATACTACATACCTATAACCGTAATCTTTGCTAAATGGAAGCAATGATTGGCAATAACCACATGTTTTGTACTCAATTTCTGAGGATTTTTTTATTTCATTATTTTTCAGTCTTTTGTTACATCTAATTACTATTGAAGAGGATCCCCGCCGTATTATTGGGTTTAATTTGGTAAAAGATGTCTACTTAGAAGAATATTAAACATAGGAATCAGAGCATGATCTCATATTATTCATAAGATACTGAGTAGTACATCATTTAATTTGTGATAATGCAATAATTCTTCTAAAGGAGGCATATATTGTTTCATAAGGAATTTGAGGCTCCCATTTCACCATTTGTCCATGTGGAGGAGCGGACTTCTTGCAAAGTGAGCAGTGAGAACACACCTTGAAGCATAGGCTTCATGAGGCATATAAGGCTTAAACTTTTGATAATCTTCAGAATTGGTCATTTTGCTTGTGAAAATGGGTTGTTTTCATGCTGCCCAACTATCATAGAATAGTTGAATAGGTTGGTGAGAGAAAAATTATCACAATTTACATATTGTGCCAGAGGATGAGAGTACGGGAGCAATCAAAGAAGAACAAACAGGAGAGTCATGCATGGTGTGAGCGACAAAGTCTCACAAGCGTGTAGAAGGACGACATTCTCTGCATCCTCTCCCCATTCGGTCACTATCCGCCTCCACAGTTTCTTCCTCCATTTGTGGTTCTGTCATGTTGACTGGAAGTGTAGCTTGACTGCCACTGTCAATTGGCCCCATCGTGGCTTCACTGCCACTGTTCACCTTGTGTGGGGTAGTGCCCAACATTGGTACCCTTGTCGTAAGCCCCACTGCCGGCAATGCCATGTTCATTTGGGATGAGTTCAGTTGTCTCCTACTCTCCTATGTATCTCTCTATCTCTCTTATCTTCACTGAAAGGATATACCTTCTCAATGAATTTAACATCACAACAGACAGAGCTTTTGTCTCTCAAGATCAAAGAAATGCCATCCTTTTCCCCCCAAAACACGAATATGTGCATATGAAGGAACTTTTCCAAATAAAACTTCATACACTGCTTTTCCCCTTAAGAGTTTGGAAGGAGTAAGTTTTACTACGTATCAAGTAACCTGCCCTGAACACACATTCACCCCGAAACCAAATTTGTAGATGTGTTTGAAAATGCAAGGCACGTGCCACATCCAGAATATGATGATGTTTGCGTTTAACTCATCCATTGTGTTGAGATGTTCCCACACAAGAACACCCAGATAGTATTCCACGTTTTTCGAAGTAATATTCATGCAATGCCAACCACTTTCTTGAATTGCCTTTGAATCATGTCAAAGAAAACTTTAAAATGTCTTGGCACTTCACCCTTATTGTTTACCAAATAAATCCAAACTGCGCTATAAAAAATCAGCAATACTTCTTTAATTAAAGCTTGCCCTGTCCCAAGCAGGTTCTTGATATGCATCTCACAAGTCACAATGGATCAATGAAAATGACTTGGTCATTATTATTATTATTATTATTATTTATTACTAATTGGAAAAGAATCTCTAGATTGTTTTAGACCTAACACAGATATCAAAATTGCATTCACTACCTCATTATTTTTTCCAAAAATACTTGAAGTATATTAAGTATCCCTTGCAAAAGATGCCCAAGACGTCTAGAGAAGACGTCCACTTTACACTGCAGACCTGATTACAAACAACGTCCTTCAAGAAATGGAGTTTTCCGGTCTGTTCACCTGCTTCAATCACCATTCTCGAAGCATGGTCTTGTACGATACACATTGTATTAGTAAACGGAATAACAAAACGTTCGTTATCAAGAAGTTGTGAGATAGAAATTAGATTGCAGTTAAGTTTTGGAGCATATAATACCTCTCACAAGAGAATAGTTATTCCAAGCTGCATATCCCCTTTCTTTATGGCCTCTGCATAGTATCCATTAGGCAAACCAAGTGAGACTGGAGTCCTGTTCTTGACATTCGTCAAGAAATTGATATTACCCGTCATTTGTTGTGAATTTGTGATGCCCCGCAATCAAGTGTCCATAAGGCAACATGATCACATGTAAGTTTTTCATTGTTACCAGTGTGCCAGATATCAAGCAACCCCACAATTGCATTCCACTGAGTCGGGGTGAGCCTAGCCGTGACTCTATCTTCAGTGCTATTCCTTTGATCACCGCTGGCACTTGGCAGCCCTGACGATGTGCATGGCTACTGTCTACTAAATACCGCGGCCAACCATATCCTCAGGCAATGTCACGTCCAGTGATTGTCCAATTAAGACTCCCATTAAGAAAGCCACATTTTTCCCATGTCCAGAAAGCGATTTGCATGGCGCAAGCCGACACTTCATTGTTATCAATTAGACCTGGGTGATCGAAAGCCCCAAGCATTCATAGATTTGAACTTGTATGGGTTGGATGCTGTTTTTCCTTTTTTATTTTTCCTTATGTTTGTCTCTGCAACCTTTGTCGTCGACCCTATTGTCGCCACCATCTCACTCTGATAGTTTGACATCAAAGAGAGTCACAGCTTGATGCCAGCCAAATTATAAAAATATGGAGTATTATTCTTTTCAGAACCTTTTGCTCTTATACCATGTTAGAAATTGAGAAGAATTAAGAAGATTTTTTTATTAGTTCTGTATCCCAGGATGGTTATTTATAGGAAAGAAGAGATCTCTTAATTATGGAAGTTATCAAACACTTTCATTACTCAATTCCTAAATGAAGGTTAACATATTAAATAAGGAAATATAAACATATATTTATCTCATAAATAATATTCCGGCCCGTTTACACGTTGTTAGGTTTTTAAGGTGAGCGTTTTAGAAGCATCTGACCATTATAAAATCTTCAAAGGCACATATTTTGCCTATCTCAGGACCAGATGAAGAGGGGTTTGTGTGTTTGTGCTAGATGTTGGTTTCAGGCATGTCAGTTGAAATATAAACTACTACCTTAATGCCTAGGCTGTTCATCTTATTGAAATATGTTACTGGGATGGACAGGGAGAGAGAGAAGAGAGATTTACTATGGCTGAGTAGCGGGCTACTGTTAACTATGCTTTTGGATATTTTGTAAAAGTGACTTGAATTCATTATGACCTTTTTCTTTTTGTTTTCCAGGATGTTGGTTTGTGGTTGGAAGAAATAAATCTTGGTAGCTATCGACAAATTTTCAGAGAAAACGGTGTCAATGGGGAGTACCTGGAAGGGATGTCAATGTTCACGACTGAACAGATCCTACGATTTATAAGAAGATGCCACATGAAATGGGGAGATTTCATAACATTATGCAAGGAGCTTAGGCGAATAAAAGGTCTCTCTCTCTCTCTCTCACACACACACACGCACACCCACAGCCTTTACAATTCCTAGTTTGTATTGTTGCTTGCATGAAAATTTAGAAACCACTAGGCACCTGCTAGTTTTTTTGAGATGGTAGTGAAAAAACAATCTTTATTGAAGTCCAGCCCACTTCATTGGTGTTCCACCCATTCTACCAAGTAGCAATTGCTCCCAAATCCTTTCCTAGCCTTGATCAATCACCCCTTCTGGCCTATGTGTCTCACGCTTAGGTCTTGCCTAATTCTGCTTAGGCCATGTCTCATGAACAATGCACTCAGGACCAGCATGGCTTGATGTTTGGACCGGCAGCCTCCGACCTGCTGGTATGTAGTGTTTTGGTGAGCCTACTAGCATCAGCCTATGTCGGGCTGGCTGAGTTGACGAGTAACACCTTATTCGTACAGCCATGCAGCTTGGGTATCTTTTTGCCCCCTTAGGCCTAATCTCCAAAGATGTAGCTCAACTTATTATGCAGTCATGGTTTGCCCACGTGTGTGCCGCTTCCGCTTAACACGTCCCGTAGTCCTGTACTTGGTGCCTTGGTAGTTCCTTAGCCGCAGCTGTAAATACCCCTTCAAGCCCTCTTTGCATTGTCTTAATGTATGTTATGGCCTTTGGGAGTTAATTTCTTATCTCATTCCAGCAGTTCTAATTCCATTGAATTGTGCAGTTTTGAGATATACTACTGAGTATTACTTTGTAATAAAAAAAGATGAATGTTTTTTAACCTAATATTTTAAAATACAAAAGGCAATGATGGATTAAATAATATTGTCTCACATTCTATTGGAGCAAAAAATTGAGTATGTAATTTTCGATATTGCAAAATCAATATTTGAGCTCATTGATGGAGATGGTTTTACCCAGACCCTACTCTTGTGGGACCCAACTGGATTTTTGTTGTTGATGGAGATGGTTTTACACCATTAGTGATTGACTAGTCTTTTTTTTCTTCCTGGGTGTACGTTGGCGGGGCTGGATCTTCAGTGGCTTGTTTAAAGGGTGAACAGAAAATACACAGTCCGTGGTGGGCTCCCTCTTGCATCTCCGTAGTCTTCGTCAAGGCAGCCAAGCGTAACAGGCAGTCAAGAGTGGTTTCCTTAAAACTCGAACCTTGACGTTTGAGGTTTCTCCTGCCGAATGTATACTTTTTTGTCTTTGGATAATGGAGTAATTTGTTTGTGTTGTGATTCTTCTAGGGAGAACTCCCAACTGTTTGGAGCCCAAGCCTCTTTCTTCCTCTCTTTCTCTTATACATAGTTCTGTAGTTTTGCTGTCAAAATCTTCTTGTAACAAAGGTGTGATCATCAAATCAAACCAACATCATTAAGGTTAGTTATATTGCATTCCCACTTGATAGATAGTGCTTTGTAGTATATGCTGTAACAGTCACTGGTTGCTTCTTTCTTTGCTTGACTTTTAGAACATAAAACAGTGTGTTTACTTTCACTATTCAAGTTTTCAATTTTCATTTTCTGGTATTTTGTTTTGTTCTCTAATTTGTGAAACAGTACAAAATTATTTGTAATGTTAAAAGTGCATGTGTGCTTCTTAGTGTTTTGGGTCTATTTTCAAGTAGCCAAGTAAGGGTAAAGTTTGCGTATACACACACAAATCTATGATCGTTCTATAAACCAATGCTTTAATCATTTTCTTCACTACTTCAATTCTAAGATTTATGGATAAAAGTGCTAAATTTATTTTGGAATGTATTAAGGGGGTGTTTGGTTTGTGCTAAGGAAAGGGAAAGGAAACAAGAAAGGAAATCAAGGGGAAAGGGAATGATTATCCCTAAATTACCCTGTCTGTTTGGTTCAGTACGCGAAAGAGAATCAAATTTCCTTTGTTCGTGCATGGGAGGGGAGGGATCGCAACTGGAGTGGCGCGAA